CCCGGCGCCGGGAGGCGCCCACGCATCGAGGAATGGGCCCGGCGGCGGGGCCGAAACCAGCTGCATGCAGCAGATCTCGTACCCCCCCTTCTTCCCCAACCCCCCCCCCCCCTTTCGCCCGACCCGACTCTCTCCCTCGCGGCCAGCGCGCTCTCTCTCCCCGTCCGGCGGCCCAGCGAGGCCACGTGGGGCGGGGGCAGGCCCTGGCCCCGCGCCCTCGGCTGCACGCGAGGGCGACCCCGGGCATGGGGTGAGCTCTGGTGAGCGGAGACGTAAGACCCGACGAGGTCGTCAAAAAAATGACGAGGCCGAGCCTGCATTTTGACGAGGCCTCCCGCTCCAGACATCCCACGAAACTCCTCCTCGTCAAATTCCGAGGCGCGGTCGTCAAAAAACGATGGCGAACCCGAGTCCTGGCAAACCCGGGTCTTACGCTCCCCCGACTGGTGAGCGGAGCAGTGGGGCGCAACAGTGGCCAAATCCCAGTGCGCACTCCGCCGCTATCGCATCGCCGTCGCGCTCAACGAACGGGGGGGCCTCCTCCGACTTCACGGGGCGATCTCTGGGAGAATCATGGCGTCGCGTCTTGGGGCGTCGGAAGCCCAAAAAGGCGAGAAGACCAAACGGCATCAAACCACTTGGGGAACCTACTGATTATTGTTTCTCGAGGCCCTTTTGGGCGTCCTCTTGATGGCCCTGGGGGGCGTATTGGAGGCCTTCCTGGGCTGACTGAGCGGCCTTGGCGCTGTTATGGGCCGTCTCGGAGTCCTCTTGGGCCATCTCGGGAGCTTCTGGGGTTGTCTTAGAATGCTCTTGGACGCCTATTTTGTCCCAACCCTCCTGTGTTGGGTTCTCGTTTTGAATCGAGCACTGTGGTTTTCACCTCCTCTCCCGCCTCCCTCTCCTCTTTCCTCCTCCTGCGCTACTCCCTGGGTGGCTGTGAATTGCCCAACCGTCGCCACACTCGTGGGCTACTGAGAGATCTCCACTTTCGTGGGCTCCTGAGAGGCACGGCGGGGGTGAGGGCAGCGCGGATCGTGCATATCTGGCGAGGGGTTCTGCTGTATGAAACGTTCGTGCACGTATTCGCCTCGCGTGCAGAAGGGATTGGGTACGTCATGGGTAATTCCCAACCGTCCTGTGGGATCGGGTCCTCGATTTGAAGACAGCGCCCCGCGTTCCTCCCACTCCACCTCCACCTCCTCCGTCCTCCCATCATCTTCCCTCTGCCTTCCGCACGTCAATTTCGGCACACCCCTCACACTTTTCGTGGTCCCATAGGGAGCTGCACCGAAAGTCCCAATGGCGCAGCCCGCATGCGTCCGCACCACCCATTTCGGCACACCCCTCACGCATTTCGTGGCCCCACAGGGAGCTCGACCGACGGTCCCAGTGGCGCAGCCCGCACGCGGTCCCGCCGCCCAATTTCGGCGCAACCCTCATACGTCTCGTGGCCCCACGAGGAGCTCCACCGAAGGTCCCACGTGGCGCAGGCCGCAGTGGTTTCAACCGTCCGTTTCGGCGCACCCCTCGTACGTCTCGTGGCCCCACAGGGAGCTCCACTGAGGGCCCCAGTGGCTGCGTTCGCATGGCGCACACGCACCCGAATCGGCAAACCCCTCACACGTTCGTGGCCCCAAAGGAGCTGCCCCTCGTTCGTCCCACGTACCTTGCGGTATTCGCACCCGCATATGGTTGGGTCCTTCGCCAAGGTAATTGTTTTGGAAGCGCGGGTAGCACAACCCTGACAATTGTCCACAATCCCATCAGGAATGCTGAGGGGCCAACTGAAGGGTAAACCTGCCGGGGTACTCATGCAAGAAGGCACGCCAAGGTACCATGCCCGGCTGCCTGAATAAGCCTCGCCGGTATGCCGTTGCCTTGGTTGGGCACTGCGCTACTATCGGAGGCCTAAATGTTGACACCATCACCAACATCGGTGGTGTGCCTCCACCGAGGGGAGATGATCCCGATCTCGGTGATGGTGGTCCTGTTCGTGCTCTGTAGGTGACCAAGAAATTACCACCAACACCAACATCTAGGACCATCTTGCCCGGGTGGAGGCAACCCCTTCTTTTGGTGTTAATGCTCATTCCCAAGCCTCCAATACTATCGCACCGCATACTGCTGGTTGTCTTTGCCAATGCACGCTGTAAAAAAACACAACGTGCCAACCTGTGTGGCGTCATGCGTTGCGCCCACGGCAAGACCACGCTAAGAGTGATCAGTCAATCACACATGCAAAAAAACACGCTGGTGCAAAAGACACGCGAAAGTAGCTAGCCCGGCTGCTTGAATATGCCTCGCCGGTATGCCGCTGCCCTGGTTGATCATTGCGCAGAGCTCTGCCAGCGCACACTTCCCAAACGCAAAAAAAAACCTTCTCACTGACGTGAGCCGTATATGAAGTGTCATCCGCAAAACATGGCTGACGCTCCTCCATGCCATCCTCTCTCATCTCGCCTTGCAGCCTGCTGCTCCTCGTGCTATTTCCTCCCTCGGACGCCCGTGGAACGGCATCGAGGAGGCGCCGCCCATGGCAAGCATCCCGGGCCCTGTCGCGATAGCTGCCTGGGGGTGGGCTCTTCGCCAGGCGTGCCGTTGTCTTATATGCTGGCCTCAGGCTCGTCTCGTCACCGTGCCTGGGCTGTGTATGAGAAGTCTTTGGGTGCCTATTGGGGTCTCTTGGGGTGCCTCGCGGGGGCTCTGAGGGACGGTTTTGAAGCCTATTGGAACGTCTCGGGAACCTCTTTGGTGCCTCTCGTTTGGAACCTACTGGTGACCTCTGGGGCGCCTCCTGGAGGCATCGTGGGGCCTCTTTGAGGCCTCTGGGGGCTTGTTAGCGGTCTCCGAGAACATCGTGGGGCGGAGGGCTCGAAATGTGAGTCCGTGTTCCTCCTCTTGGGCACCTCTTGACGGCCCTTGTGGCCCTCTTGGGCCGTCTGTGTAGCTTCTCGGGCCGTTGGGGGCCCTCTTTGGCCGTCGAGGTGCCCGCCTAGGGGCCTCTCGGGCCGTCTTGGATCGATTCGTGGGGCCTCTTGGGTCGTCGTGGCCGTTGTTCGGACACCAGAGAATCGGTACAAAACGTGTTGGGGTCTCGTTTTGACTCGAGCACTGTGGTCTCAACCTCCTCTCCCGCCTCCCCCCTCCTCTTGCCTCCTCCTGCGCTGCTCCCTGGGTGGCTGTGAATTCTTTACGCTTCGCGTATCCCCACCAGCCCATCTCAAAACAGCAACTCTTGCGAAGCATGCCGACAGTCGTGTTTTTCAGGCGTGTGTCCGCCTGCCCCCGCATATCTCCCCTGTTCCTCCTTCCTCCCGCCTCCTTGTACATCCTCCTTGTGGTGGGAGCGGGAGAAGGACGAGGCGGAGGAGGAGGGAGAGAAAGCGCTCCTCGTGGTTTGAGTCGTTTGGGGTTTCTTGTCCTGGTGTGAGTCGTTCGGGCCCTTCTTCCTGGTGTGAATCGTTCGGGCTCTTCGTGATGTGAGTCGTTCGGGCTCTTCGTCCTGGTGTGAGTCGTTCGGGCTTCTCGTGGTGTGAGTTGTTCGGGCCCCTCGTCGTCGTGTGAGTCGTTCGGGCCCCTCCTCCTGGTGTGACTCGTTCGGGCTCCTCGTGGTGTGAGTCGTTCGGGGCCCTCGTCGTGGTGTGAGTCGTTTTGGGAGCCTCTTGGAGGCCTTTTGGGGCGTCTTCGGGGCCTCTTGGCGGCCCCAGGGGCTTCTAGGAGCGTCTTGGGTGCCTTGGGGGAGCCTCTTCGGGCCTCTTGGGGGCCTCTTGGAGGCCGTTTGGGGCGTCTTGGGGGCCTCTTGGCGGCTCCAGGGGCTGCCAGGAGCGTCTTGGGTGTCTCGGGGGAGCCTCTTGGGCCTCTTGGGCGCCTCTTGGGGGCATCTTGGGGGCCTCTTGGAGGCCTCTTGGGGCCTCTTAGGGCTCTTTGGGAGGGGTCTGGGAGGAATCTTGGGGCCATCTGTCGGGCGATCGATCACAGATGGGGGGAGCATTTTTTCTCCCTCCCCCCGTCGGGGCCAGAATCCTCGTGAGGGGTGTCGAATTTTAGCCCTCCGAGGAGTCGAAAATGACCCCTCTGACGACCCGCGAAAGGACCTCTCCAGGCCCAGGGGGAGGGGGTAGGGGGAGGGGTAAACCCCTCCCCGAAGGGGAAGAAGGGGGGGTGAGACCAGAGAGAGCTCGCTAAACCACTCGCGCCCAAAGGTCCCCCCTCCTCTTGCCTCCTCCTGCACTGCTCCCTGGGTGGCTGTGAATTGCCCAACCGTCGTCACACTCGTAGGCTACTGGGAGATCTCCACTTTCGTGGGCTCCTGAGAGGCACGGCGGGGGTGAGGGCAGCGCGGATCGTGCATATCTGGCGAGGGGTTCTGCTGTATGAAAAGTTCGTACACGTATTCGCCTCGCGTGCAGAAGGGATTGGGTATGTCTCGGGTAATCCCACCAGCCCTTTGGGCGTGCGTGGTTTAGCGAGCTCTCTCTGTTCTCAACCCCCCTTCTTCCCCTTCGGTGAGGGGTTTACCCCTCCCCCTACCCCCTCCCCCTGGGCCTGGAGAGGTCCTTTCGCGGGTCGTCAGAGGGGTCAGTTTCGACTCCTGGGAGGGCTAAACAACTACACCCCTCACGAGGATTCTGGCCCCGACGGGGGGGGGGGGGGAACAAATGCGCCCCTCTGCTTCGAAGCCAACATCATTGATTTTACTACGGTTTTGGCACCATTTTGGCCTTCTGAGGGGGCAGCGCTAATTAAAGCTCCCCTCTTCTTTCAAGCCAGAATCATTGATTTTAGGAAGGTTTTGGCTCCATTTTGGTCTTCTGAGGGGGCAGCGCTAATTAAAGCTCCCCTCTTCTTTGATCGATTTCCTCCAAGATGGCCCCAAGAAGCGCCCAGGAGGCACCAAGAGGCCCCAAGATGGCCCCAAGAGGCCCCCAGGAGGCCCCCAAGAGGATCCCAAACGGCCCAAAGAGGCCCCCCCGAGGCACCCAAGACGCCGAAAAGCCCATCAGGACGACCCTCTACTCGCCTGGGCGTCGTTTCTGGACGGGCAGGAGGAGGGGCCCGAACGACTCACACCAGGACGAGGGGCCCGAACAACTCACACCACGAGAAGCCCGAACGACTCACACCAGGACGAAGAGCCCGAACGACTCACACCACGAAGAGCCCGAACGACTCACACCAGGAAGAAGGGCCCGAACGACTCACACCAGGACGAGAAACCCCAAACGACTCAAACCACGAGGAGCGCTTTCTCTCCCTCCTCCTCCGCCTCGTCCTTCTCCCGCTCCCACCGCAAGGAGGATGTACAAGGAGGCGGGAGGAAGGAGGAACAGGGGAGATATGCGGGGGCAGGCGGAAACACGCCTGAAAAACACGACTGTCGGCATGCTTCGCTAGAGTTGCTGTTTTGAGATGGGCTGGTGGGGATACGCGAAGCGTGAAGAATTCCCAACCGTCCTGTGGAATTGGGTCCTCGATTTGAAGACAGCGCCCCGCGTTCCTCCCACCCCACCTTCACCTCCTCCGTCCTCCCATCATCTTCCCTCTGCCCTCCGCACGTCAATTTCGGCACACCCCTCACACTTTTCGTGGTCCCATAGGGAGCTCCACCGAAGGTCCCAATGGCGCAGCCCGCATGCGTCCGCACCACTCATTTCGGCACACCCCTCACGCATTTCGTGGCCCCACAGGGAGCTCGACCGACGGTCCCAGTGGCGCAGCCCGCACGCGGTCCCGCCACCCAATTTCGGCGCAACCCTCATACGTCTCGTGGCCCCACGAGGAGCTCCACCGAAGGTCCCACGTGGCGCAGGCCGCAGTGGTTTCAACCGTCCGTTTCGGCGCACCCCTCGTACGTCTCGTGGCCCCACAGGGAGCTCCACTGAGGGCCCCAGTGGCTGCGTTCGCATGGCGCACACGCACCCGAATCGGCAAACCCCTCACACGTTCGTGGCCCCAAAGGAGCTGCCCCTCGTTCGTCCCACGTACCTTGCGGTATTCGCACCCGCATATGGTTGGGTCCTTCGCCAAGGTAATTGTTTTGGAAGCGCGGGTAGCACAACCCTGACAACTGTCCACAATCCCATCAGGAATGCTGAGGGGCCAGCTGAAGGGTAAACCTGCCGGGGTACTAATGCAAGAAGGCACGCCAAGGTACCATGCCCGGCTGCTTGAATAAGCCTCGCCGGTATGCCGTTGCCTTGGTTGGGCACTGCGCTACTATCGGAGGCCTAAATGTTGACACCATCACCAACATCGGTGGTGTGCCTCCACAGAGGGAAGATGATCCCGATCTCGGTGATGGTGGTACTGTTCGTGCTCTTTAGGTGACCAAGAAATTACCACCAACACCAACATTCAGGACCATCTTGGCCGGGTGGAGGCAACCCCTTCTTTTGGTGTTAGTGCTCATTCCCAAGCCTCCAATACTGTCGCACCGCATCCTGCTGGTTGCCTTTGCCAATGCACGCTGTAAAAAACACAACGTGCCAACCTGTGTGGCGTCATGCGTTGCGCCCACGGCAAGACCACGCTAAGAGTGATCAGTCAATCACACATGCAACAAAAACACGCTGGTGCAAAAGACACGCGAAAGTAGCTAGCCCGGCTGCTTGAATATGCCTCGCCAGTATGCCGCTGCCCTGGTTGATCATTGCGCAGAGCTTCTCAAACGCAAAAAAAAAACCTTCTCACTGACGTGAGCCGTATATGAAGTGTTATCCGCAATACATGGCTGACGCTCCTCCATGCCATCCTCTCTCATCTCGCCTTGCAGCCTGCTGCTCCTCGTGCTATTTCCTCCCTCGGACGCCCGTGGAACGCCATCGAGGAGGCGCGGCCCATGGCAAGCATCCCGGGCCCTGTCGCGATAGCTGCCTGGGGGTGGGCTCTTCGCCAGGCGTGCCGTTGTCTTATATGCTGGCCTCAGGCTCGTCTCGTCACCGTGCCTGGGTTGTGTATGAGAAATCTTTTGGTGCCTATCGGGGTCTCTTGGGGTGCCTCGCGGGGGCTCTGAGGGACGGTTTTGAAGCCTATTGGAACGTCTCGGGAGCCTCTTTGGTGCCTCTCGTTTGGAACCTACTGGTGACCTCTGGGGCGCCTCCTGGAGGCGTCGTGGGGCCTCTTTGAGGCCTCTGGGGGCCTGTTTGCGGTCTCCGAGAACATCGTGGGGGGGAGGGCTCGAAATGTGAGTCCGTGTTCCTCCGCTTGGGCACCTCTTGACGGCCCTTGTGGCCCTCTTGGGCCGTCTTTGTAGCTTCTCGGGCCGTTGGGGGCCCTCTTTGGCCGTCGAGGTGCCCTCCTGGGGGCCTCTCGGGCCGTCTTGGAGCGATTCGTGGGGCCTCTTGGGTCGTCGTGGCCGTTGTTCAGACACCAGAGAATCGGTACTAAACGTGTACCCTTTGCCTGGGGACTCACGGGCCTCGAGGTCCTCTTGGAGCGTGCCTGGGGAGTAAATTAGCCCGGCGAAGAACCCAACCATACGCAGTTGTGAATACCGCAATTGTAAACATATTCTTCGGTGGCGCTCCCTATGGGGTCACGAACCGTATGAAGGGTGTGCTGAATTGTGAGATAGGGTACACAGCACGAGCGAAAACAATAGGTCTGAGTATGAAAGCTTGAGCGCGTGCGAGTCTAAGCGCGAGTGAGTCTGATTCTGAATGAATATGCGTGCGATGGATTCTATTTGCATGACTGCGAGCATGGAGTCGCCTAGTGTAAATGCATACGACTGTGAATGGTTTGGTTCTGCCTGACTCTGGGAACTCGTGACACTGAGCGTATTGCAAGGAGTTGTCCTGGGAACCCCGGCGGCAGCGCCCGCGCGCAGCGACGCCCAGGTCGGCACGCCCTACACGAGGATCGCGCCCGCTTCCTCCCCTTCTTTTCCTTCCTCTTTGCCCGCGCATTCCAAAGTTCAAGGCTGCGGGCACCGCGCTACGCGGAGCCCCCGCGACGCGCGCAGGTCGGACGTCGACGACGGACGACGACGACGAAGAAATCGGCCCTAGGGAAGCTGTCGGGACCACCAGCTCCCCATGGGGCCACGAAACGTGTGAGGGGTGTGCCGACTTGGGTGTGCGGGACGCATGCGGGCGGCGGCACTGGTGCCTTCAGTGGAGCTCCCTATGGGGCCACGAAGCGTGTGAGGGGTGTGCCGACTTGGGTGTGCGGGACGCATGCGGGCGGCGGCACTGGGGCCTTCGGTGGCCGACTTGGGTGTGCGGGACGCATGCGGGCGGCGGCACTGGGGCCTTCGGTGGAGCTCCCCATGGGGCCACGAAACGTGTGAGGGGTGTGCCGAATTGGGTGTGCGGGACGCATGCGGGCGGCGGCACTGGGGCCTTCGGTGGAGCCCCCTATGGGGCCACGAAACGTGTGAGGGGTGGGCCGAATTGGGTGTGCGGGACGCATGCGGGCGGCAGCACTGGGGCCTTCGGTGGAGCGCCCTATGGGGCCACGAAACGTGTGGGGTGTGTGCCGACATGGGTGTGCGGGACGCATGCGGGCGGCAGCACTGGGGCCTTCGGTGGAGCTCCCTATGGGGCCACGAAACGTGTGAGGGGTGTGCCGAATTGGGTGTGCGGGACGCATGCGGACGGCAGCACTGGGGCCTTCGGTGCAGCTCCCTATGGGGCCACGAAGCGTGTGAGGGGTGTGCCGAATTGGGTGTGCGGGACGCATGCGGGCGGCAGCACTGGTGCCTTCAGTGGAGCTCCCTTTTGGGCCACGAAGCGTGTGAGGGGTGTGCCGACTTGGGTGTGCGGGACGCATGCGGCCGGCGGCACTGGGGCCTTCGGTGGAGCTCCCTATGGGGCCACGATACGTGTGAGGGGTGTGCCAACAAGGGTGTGCGGGACGCATGCGGCCGGCAGCACTGGGGCCTTTGGTGGAGCTCCTTTGGGACCACGAAACGTGTGAGGGGTGTGCCGAATTGGGTGTGCGGGACGCATGCGGCTGGCGGCTGGCAGCACTGGGGCCTTCGGTGGAGCTCCCAATGGGGCCACGAAGCGTGTGAGGGGTGTGCCGAATTGGGCGTGCGGGACGCATGCGGGCGGCGGCACTGGGGCCTTCGGTGGAGCCCCCTATTGGGCCACGAAACGTGTGAGGGGTGATGGTGCTGATGACGGCGATGACGATGACGATGATGGTGATGATGACGGGTGAGAAGAGGAGGGAGGGGGGGAAGGAGGATGACGGGTGAGAGGAGGAGGGAGGGGGGGAGGAGGAGAAGGAGGGAGGACGCGGGGCGCTGTCTCTTCAAAACGAGGACCCAACACCACAGGATGGTTGGGAAACATCTGAAAAGCCTCTTGGGCCGTTTGGGACGCCTCGTAAGTCCTAGAGGCCGACTTGGGGGCAACTATAGGCCGACGTGGGCCTTTTTGACGACTGTCTGATCGCCTTTCGAAGCGAGCCTGTGCCCCCCCAAAACGAACCCGGCCCCTTGCCCCACATCTGCTGTAATGGTTCCGGCTTGGGCCGCCAGGGCCCAGCCGTCTGTTTTTTGACAGTATATATATATATATGTGTATACAGATGCTTCGATTCACCTACATACCTACCTACCAACCGACTTTCGTACATACATACAAACAGACATGCAAACACACCCACACATATATATAAATATGTATATATATAGATATATACTCACATATACACTTATACACAGAGGAACACGCATTCAAACATGCATACGTACTCACATACCTACACACATACGTAAGTACATACATGAAAGCAAACCAACACATATACATACAACTCGACATATACACATGCACACGAGAGAGCGCGCCACGGGAAACAGCGCCAAGGGGGGGCCTCCTCTTAGCTACCCCCCTTGGACCCTCCCTGTCGGAAGCCCCAACCACCACGTCCCCCCTCTTCTTTTCCGCGTTCTGGAGCTACCCCTCGCCCCCTCCCGTTGGCATCCCTGACGGACCCCCCCCCCTCCCCCCCCATTTTCCTGCCTGCCGGAAGCCGCCCCCTCCCTCCCCCCTTCCCCTGTTCGACCCCTGCAGGCCCCCGACAAAGAAGGCGACGACTTAGACGACTTAGACGACGACGCCGCCGCCGACCGACGACGACGACGACAACGCCGACGTCGCCTCCGGGAAGCAGTTTAGTTTTGAAGCCTCTTGGGACCTTTGTATGGGCCTTGGGGTGGCCTCTTGAGCTTATCCTGGACTTTTGGGAGCCTCGCGGAGCCTCCTGGGGGTGAACCCGCTGGCAATCTCAGGGGCCATCTTGGGGCGGAGGGCCCGAAATGTCTGTTAGACCTCCCCCCTTTTGGGCCTCTCTTGGTGCCCTCTGGGGGTCCTCTGGGGCTGTCTTGGGCGCCTCGCGAGCCGTCTTGGGCCTTGGGCTTCTCTTGGGCCGTCGTGAAACCTCCTTGGAGGCCTCTTGGGCCGTCTTGGGGCGATCTTTGGGGGCTCCAGGCCGTCGTGGACCCTGTGAACACCAAACTTGCGAATGTGCAAACAGTTCTCGCTTACCGCAAGGATTCTGACAAGGGGTCTCTTGGGGCACTCTTGGGGGGCCACTCGGAGCTCTCTTGGGGCGTCCTGGAGGCCTCTCGAGCCGCCTGGAGGTTGTCCTGGGCAGTTTGAGGCGTGTTGAATGGTCTTGGATGCGATCTGGAGGCCCTCGTGGGCACTCTTGGAGCGCCCCATGGGCTGTCGTGAGCTGCCAGGGAACGGCTGCGAGGCCAGGGGGGGTTGTGCCCAGCGGGGCCGTGGTTTCTGGGCCCTATTCCCTTCCCTGGGCATCTGTCTATTCAGATGTATACATGTTATGGGTACATCTGTGCATGTAGACATACATACATGCATACAGGCACTTACCTACCTACCGACCTACCTACCTACAGACAGACATGCAGACAGACAGACAGACAGGCACACATACATGCATACAAGCATCTATCCAATCGTACACATGCAAGCAGACAGACATACATGCACATACATGCATACATACGTACGTACATACAAGCAGTCGCACATCTATCTATACAGCCACATACGCGCACACACATGCACACAGACATCCATACATACAAAAAACGCACCTACGCACATACACACATCCATACATGCACACAGACACACACACACATTCGCACATGCATACACGCATCCATACATACATTTATACATACATACATACCTACCTACCTACCTACATACATACATACATACATACAGACTTGCACCCATACGTACATACGTACATACATGCATGCATATATACAGACATACATGCATACACATACCTACTGACGCACATACATACATCCACCCATGCACCCGTCCACTCATACATACATCCATCCGTACACAAATTTGTACGCATATGCAGATGTGTGTATGTATATATATATATATATATGTATATATGTACATATACACGTATGATTGATGTATATGCAGATGAGAGAGGTGGATAGAGAAAGAGAGAGAGAGAGAGAGAGAGCGAGGATTGACAACCATCATGTATCCAGAGAGAAAGAGAGAGGAATCGAGGGAGGGAGAGAGAGACAGAGAGATGTGGCACACACAAACACACGCATATATATAGAGAGAGAGAGAGAGAGAGAGAAAAAGAGAGAGAGAGAGAGAGAGAGCAAGCACCAGCGAGAGAGAGAGAGAGAGAGAGAGAGAGCGAGAGGGAGAGAGCGAGAGGGAGACAGACAGCGACAGCAACACACATAAAGCTCTATTCATAAACTGGTTTCGCAACGTTGGATCGCTCTTGGGAAGGTCTCGGGGCTTCTCCTGCGCCGTCCAGAGGCTGTCAGGGAGGCTTCCGCAGCACTCTGGGGCTGCTTCGGAGCTTCCCCCCTTCTTTGCGGTTCTTTCTGGGAGCTCTGGTCGGGCCCCCTTTTGCCGTCTTGGGCGGCTCTTGGCCCGTCCCTTGGTCCTCGTGGGCAGTCGTGGGGTCCTCTCGGCAGCATTCTGAAGCTCCCAAGGGCGGTCTTGGAAGCCTTTTGGGCCGGCTTGTGCCGTCGGGAAGCAGAGAGTGCGAGAAGCGCAAGCTCTCTGAACAACCGAATGAAGATCAATTAGGGAAACGAGCTCTATACACCGACGCTTTTCCCGACCCTGCGCTGAAATTCGCACAGGAACGCGGATTTTGGTGTATACGGGATCCTGGTGTATACATTTTTCGTTGTTTTCCCGGACATCGGGGGAAAAAGTATACACCACACCACCCCAGCGTCGTCCCCGACCGTCAACAAAAACATGGGATTCAAGAAACAAGCAGCCACTGGTAATGTATACGTTCCAGTTTCCGATCAATGGCTTGTCCTTGCTTCGGCGCTCTGGCTAACCTTTTGTGGACCTCTCGGGCCTCCAGGGGCGCCCCGGGAGCGTCTGGAAATTCATCCCGGGGCGGTCTTGGTGCGTATTTGGGAGAGCTTCCTGCGCCGTCCGAGGCTCTTTTCGGGGCCCCTCAAGCGAGACGAGATGAGAGACGTGTAGTTGATGGAACAAACTACATGGACATGGCATGTCGGACGTCCGCTGGCCTTAACCCCAGTCCCCTGGCGCGCGGGAACGCGCCAAGGGCGGAGCCAGAAGCACCGTCAGGGGGTACAGCGGCCTGCCAAGAAATCCGTGCGGACCTCCGGCAATTCATGCTTATGCCGTTTTTTTTTTTTTGTTGTTTTCTCCTCTTTTCTTTCCCCCCCCTCCAACCATCCTGTGGTGTTGGGTCCTCGTTTTGAAGAGACGGTGCCCCGCGTCTCCTCTCCTCTCCTTCCTTCCTCCTCCTCCGCCTCCTCCCTCCTCCCTCCTCCCACCCCTCACACGTTTCGTGGCCCCATAGGGAGCTCCACCGAAGGCCCCAGTGGCCGCGTTCGCATGGCGGCGCCGCACCCATTTCGGCACACCCCTCACACGTTTCGTGGCCCCATAGGGAGCTCCACCGAAGGCCCCAGTGGCCGCGTCCACATGGCGGCGCCGCACCCATTTCGGCACACCCCTCACACGTTTCGTGGCCCCATAGGGAGCTCCACCGAAGGCCCCAGTGGCCGCGTCCACATGGCGGCGCCGCACCAATTTCGGCACACCCCTCACACGTTTCGTGGCCCCATAGGGAGCTCCACCGAAGGCCCCAGTGGCCGCGTCCATGGCGGCGCCGCACCCATTTCGGCACACCCCTCACACGTTTCGTGGCCCCATAGGGAGCTCCACCGAAGGCCCCAGTGGCCGCGTCCACATGGCGGCGCCGCACCCATTTCGGCACACCCCTCACACGTTTCGTGGCCCCATAGGGAGCTCCACCGAAGGCCCCAGTGGCCGCGTCCACATGGCGGCGCCGCACCCATTTCGGCACACCCCTCACACGTTTCGTGGCCCCATAGGGAGCTCCACCGAAGGCCCCAGTGCTGCGTTCGCATGGCGGCGCCGCACCCATTTCGGCACACCCCTCACACGTTTCGTGGCCCCATAGGGAGCTCCACCGAAGGCCCCAATGGCCGCGTCCCATGCGCGCCGACACCCATTTCGGCACACCCCTCACACGTTTCGTGGCCCCATAGGGAGCTCCACCGAAGGCCCCAGTGGCTGCGTCCACATGGCGGCGCCGCACATTCGGCATTTCGGCCCCACACCCCCCCTGGCCGCGTCCACATGGCGTTTCGTGGCCCCACTCCACGAAGGCCCCAGTGGCTGCGTCCCATGGACCGCACCCATTTCGGCACACCCCTCACGTTTCGTGGCCCCATAGGGAGCTCCACCGAAGGCCCCATGGCCGTCCGCATGCGTCCCCAACCCTTTCGGACACCCCTCACACGTTTCGTGGCCCCACAGGGAGCTCCACCGAAGGCCGCCATGGCGGCGCCGCACCATTTCGGCACACCCCTCACACGCTTCGTGCCCCATAGGAGCTCCACCGAAGGCCCCAGTGGCTGCGCCGCACCCATTTCGGCACACCCCTCACACGTTTCGTGGCCCCACAGGGAGCTCCACCGAAGGCCCCGTGGCTGCCGTCCGCATGCGTCCCGCACCCATTTCGGCACACCCCTCACACGTTTCGTGGCCCCATAGGGAGCTCCACCGAAGGCCCCAGTGGCTGCGTTCGCATGGCGGCCCGCACCCATTTCGGCACACCCCTTTTCGTGCCCCTAGGGAGCTCCACCGAAGGCCCCAGTGGCCTGCGTTCGCATGCACGGCGTTTCGTGGCCCCATAGGGAGCTCCACCGAAGGCCCCAGCGCGTTCGCATGCGTCCCGCACCCATTTCGGCACACCCCTCACACGTTTCGTGGCCCCATAGGGAGCTCCACCGAAGGCCCCAGTGGCTGCGTTGGCATGGCGGCGCCGTGCCCATTTCGGCACACCCCTCACACGTTTCGTGGCCCCATAGGGAGCTCCACCGAAGGCCCCAGTGGCTGCGTTCGCATGGCGGCGCCGCACCCATTCCGGCACACCCCTCACACGTTTCGTGGCCCCATAGGGAGCTCCACCGAAGGCCCCAGTGGCTGTGTTCGCATGGCGGCGCCGCACCCATTTCGGCACACCCCTCACACGTTTCGTGGCCCCATAGGGAGCTCCACCGAAGGCCCCAGTGGCTGCGTTCGCATGGCGGCGCCGCACCCATTTCGGCACACCCCTCACACGTTTCGTGGCCCCATAGGGAGCTCCACCGAAGGCCCCAGTGCTACCGCCCTCATGCGTCCCGTACGCCCAGGACAGCGTTTCGTGGCACGCCTTTCGTGGCCCCATAAGGAGCCCCACCGAAAGCGGCACCCACAAAGCGTTATTCACAATTGCATATGGTTGGGTCCTTCGCCAGGATATTTTTTTTCTGGTGAGGGAGGAAGCAGAGGAGAAGGAGGAGGATGTTGAGGAGGACTCCAGCACCAGCTTAAGCGGGGCCACCGAATTCGCATGCGCAAGCAAACAATTAGAACTGGTCCGCCAATTCGTCGAGGCCGTTGGGTACGCGCTTCCTATCAAGTACCCGCTTCCCCATCTCTTTAGCTGAGGCGTGGGAGGATAATCCAAACAGCGCGAGCCCACGGACGAGGTTGACCCCTGGCACCGACACGACGTTGGGCACAGGCGCCTCTTGGGGGGCCTCTTGGAAGCCTTTTACGCCGTCTTAGTGGCCTTGTGGGCCGTCTTCTTTCTCCTTGAGCAGGAGAAACGCGCTTGGCAAGAGCCACAAATTAGCCCTACAATCGACAGGCGCACGCCGACAGGCCAATCTGGTTAAACACCAATCTCGCAGCGGGTCAAAAATAATGCCCCTCCGCGAGGAGGAGGGGGCGGAGGAGGAGGAGGAGGAGGAGGAGGAGGAGGAGGAGGAGGAGGAGGAGGAGGAGGAGGAGGAGGAGGCGGAGGAGGAGGAGGAGGAGCAGGAGGAGGAGGAGGAGGAGCAGGAGGAGCAGGAGGAGGAGGAGGACGAGGCGGAGGAACAGGAGCTGCGGACAGTGGCCGAGCATGCATCTCGGCCACCCTGCGGCCTCGGGGCCCGGCGCCAGAGCAGGCGGGTAGCTCTGGGCCCCGCCGTCTCGCGCTCCGGGAAAAACGCGCCGCTGGAGGCACCGGGCACTCTCGGACGCACGGCGGGACCTGGGACAAAAGCACATTGCTCAAGAACGTGAGGCCCTCCGCTGGCCAAGCTGACGAACATTCTCGGGTCGGGCGAAAGGGGGGGATAGCAAAGGGGGGGTTTGAGAATCAGCTCACGTAGCTGATTTTCCCGGCGCCTCCCGGCGCCTGGAGGCGGCCATGTATCGAGGAATGGGCCCCTCGGTGGGGCCGAAACCAGCTGCATGCAGCAGATTTCGTAACCCCCCCTTTCCCAATCCCCCCCTTTCGCCCGGCCCGACATTCGAGGGTGACCTCCCCCCAGGATGCACGAGAGCATCCCACAAGCACGAGGAGCAGCAGGGTGCCCACCCTGGGCCGATCCCGATCTCCTGCCTCGGGCCCGGCGGTGCTCCGGTGCTCCGAGGCCGACGGGCAGGCCCGGGCTCCTCCCCTGCCGCCAGGCGCCAGGGGGAGACGAGCAGCCGGGCGGGTCGGTCAGAGCTCCTCACGCGGGGGGAGGGCGGAGGGAAGCGCTGGGCAGCACCAGGTCGCAGTCCTGCTGCGGGGCGCCGGATGCGCGCCAGGGAGTCCAGTCCTCGACCCAGCGCTTCAGCTCCTCGGAGAAGGCGGGCGACAGGAGCAGGGCGGCGAAGAGGCACGCGCCCTGGGCCTGCAGCATGAATCCCTCGATCATCAGCATCGACACGAAGCTGCCCGTCAGCGACAAACCTGCCGCCTGGACGGAGCAGTTGACGAGTGCGAAGAATAGGTGCGCCAGCTCCAAGAACACGAGCGGCTTAACGACTACCGTCGGCGGAACGCTGTGCCACGCTTCTCCATCCCCGTTGGCGCTGGGCGCCGCGCGACCGATCGTCTTGCTGTGCAGCCGGAAGAGCTCCAGCCCGGTCAAAATAGCGAAGACGGACAACCCGGCCACCAGTTCGTCGATGAGCGTCTCATTTGAAGTATCCGTATACTTGCACTCCATGTTGAGGCTACGGGCGCCAGGGTGCATGACCGCCGAAACCAGCGTAGCGACTGAGATAACAAGAATCGCACCACACTCGAGCACAGTGCCGGAGGTGAAAGACCATGGACATGTCAGAGCCTGCATCAACACCAGCAGCCACGAACACCATCGGACCAGCCAGGTCTCAAAGAAAATGCTGGTGGATACCTCATGCGGACCGCTGTTCGCGTTGCACGGGTTGAAAGAGTCTTTCCAAGCGAAGAACGACATTACAGTCGATGCGACTCCAAACACAGCGAGTGATCCGCCACCGTGCTCCCTGGCACGTTGAGGCGTGGAAGCATGCCAAGGTCTGTCTGGTAGGGTTCCCAACCATCCTGTTGTGTTGGGTCCTCGTTTTGAAGAGACAGCGCCCCGCGTTCCTTCCTCCTCACGCTGCCCCCTCCCTCCCTCCCTCCTCCCCCTCCTTGCCTCTGCTTTCGGCACACCTCTCACGCGTTTCGTAGCCCCATAGGGAGCTCCACCGAAGGCCCCAGTGGTTGCTCTCGCATGCGTTTCCCCCACCCTGGGCAGCGTTTCGTGGCCCCATAGGGAGCTCCACCAAAGGCCCCAGTGGTTGCTCTCGCTTGCGATTCCCCCACCCTGGGCAGCGTTTCGTGGCCCCATCGGGAGCTCCACCGAAGGCCCCAGTGGTTGCTCTCGCATGCGTTTCCCCCGCCCTGGGCAGCGTTTCGTAGCTCCATAGTGAGCTCCACCGAAGGCCCCAGTGGTTGCTCTCGCATGCGTTTCCCCCACCCTGGGCAGGGCAGTTTCGTAGCCCCATAGGGAGCTCCACCGACGGCCCCAGTGGTTGCTCTCGCATGCGTTTCCCCCACCCTGGGCAGCGCTTCGTGGCCCCATAGGGAGCTCCACCGAAGGCAGTGGTTGCTCTCGCATGCGTTTCCCCCACCCTGGGCAGCGCTTCGTGGCCCCATAGGGAGCTCCACCGAAGGCCCCAGTGGTTGCTCTCGCATGCGTTCCCCCACCCTGGGCAGCGTTTCGTGGCCCCATAGGGAGCTCCACCGAAGGCCCCAGTGGTTGCTCTCGCATGCGTTTCCCCCACCCTGGGCAGCGTTTCGTGGCCCCATAATGGGGGCTCCACCGAAGGCCCCAGTGGTTGCTCTCGCATGCGTTTCCCACACCCTGGGCAGCGTTTCGTAACCTCATAGGGAGCTCCACCGAAGGCCCCAGTGGTTGCTCTCTCATGCGTTTCCCCCACCCTGGGCAGCGCTTCGTGGCCCCATAGGGAGCTCCACCGACGGCCCCAGTGGTTACTCTCGCATGCGTTTCCCCCACCCTGGGCAACGCTTCGTAACCCCATAGGGAGCCCCACCGAAGGCCCCAGTGGTTGCTCTCGCATGCGTTTCCCCCGCCCTGGGCAGCATTTCGTGGCCCCATGGGGAGCTCCACCGAAGGCCCCAGTGGTTGCTCTCGCATGCGTTTCGCCCACCCTGGGCAGCGTTTCGTGGCCCCATAGGGAGCTCCACCGAAGGCCCGCCCCAGTGGTTGCTCTCGCATGCGTTTCCCCCACCCTGGGCAGCGTTTCGTAGCCCCATAGGGAGCTCCACCGAAGGCCCCAGATGGTTGCTCTCGCATGCGTTTCCCCCACCCTGGGCAGCATTTCGTGGCACCATAGGGAGCTCCACCGAAGGCCACTGTGGTTGCTCTCGCATGCGTTTCCCCCACCCTGGGCAACGTTTCGTAGCCCCATAGGGAGCTCCACCGAAGGCACCAGTGGTTGCTCTCGCATGCGTTTCCCGCACCCTGGGCAGCGCTTCGTGGCCCCATCGGGAGCTCAACCGAAGGCCCCTGTGGTTGCTCTCGCATGCGTTTCCCTCATCCTGGGCAGCGTTTCGTAGCCCCATAGGGAGCTCCACCGAAGGCCCCAGTGAGTGGTTGCTCTCGCATGCGGTTCCTCCACCCAGGGCAGGGTTCCGTGGCCCCATACGGAGCTCCAACGAAGGCCCCAGTGGCTGCTTTCGCATGCGGTTCCCCCACCCAGGGCAGCGTTTCGTCGCCCCATAGGGAGCCCCACCGAAAGCGGCACCCACAACGCGTTACGAACAATTGCTTATGGTTGGGTCCTTCGCCAGGATAATTTTCCGGAGTTCTAGCAAGGAACCACCCGTCCCTCTTCCAGCAGAGTCTTGCGTGTACCGCCCCTCCTTTCCGAGGCCGCCCCCCCCGTACCCGCTTGAGGATGGTGCACTTCCCGCATGGCAGCTTGTGCCTGAACCCTCCTTCCATGCGCGCCCGCTCGAGGATTGTGCACTGCCCGCATGGCTGCTAATTCCTCGGTGCCCCATTCCATGCGCACCCGCTCGAGGATTATGCACTTCCCGCATTCCCAGGCGCTGCTCCCAAGCGTGCAGAGCCTCCCAAGCCACGACCTCTTGGTAAAAACGATGGGTATGCGTCCCCAGCTTACAAGACGGCCCGTGCAGGCAACCATGGACATCAAGATGGCCCAAGATGTCTCGAAGACGGCCCAAGAAGACCCCAAGGCGGCCGACAATCGGTTCAAGACGGCCCAAGATGCCTCCAAGAGGACCCAGGATGGCCATGAGAGGAACTCCAACAGGGTCAGAAGAAGCCAACATCATTGGTTCCTCTAGGGTATTTGAATGGTTTTCGCATTCTCGCTTTCTCGCTGTCGTTAGATAAACGGCCCAAGAGGACCCCATGATGGCCCAAGGGGCATCCAAGACGGCTTAAGAATGCCTTCCGTGGGACCCAAGAGGGCACTACGGCGGCCCCCAGACACCCTCCATACGGCCAAGACGGTCCAAGACTGCCCACGAGAACCCCAAGCTGGCGTAAGGGGGCCCCAAGACGGCCCAACCCGGCCCCAAGGGAACCCCAAACCTGCCCCAAAGGAGGCCACGACAGCCCCAAGACGGCCCAAACGAGTACCATCATCATCATCATCATCATCATCATCATCATCATCATCATCACCACCACCACCATCATCAGCATCATCATCATCATCAGCATCAGCGTCATCGTCATCGTCATCGTCATCATCATCGTCATCGTCATCGTCATCGTCATCGTCATCGTCGTCATCATCCTCACCGCCACCATCACCATCACCATCACCATCACCACCATCACCACCATCATCATCATCATCATCAGCATCATCATCATCATCGTCATCATCGTCATCATCATCATCATCATCATCATCATCATCATTATTATAGTCGTCGTCATTAACGTCATTATCGTCAAACTTTCAAGTATCGTCATCGTCAGCATCATCATCATAAGCATCATGTCCCTCATCATCATCATCGCCATCATCATCACCATCAACACATGTGTAATCATCATGTCCATCATCATCACACAATTTATTAGTACCATCAACATCATCAGCATCATCAGCATCACCATCGCCACCACCACCATCACCATCACTATCACCATCGCCATCGCCATCGTCATCGCCATCATCACCATCATCAGCATCCCCATCACCACCACCATCACCACCACCATCATTATCGCCACCATCGTCGTATAATCGTCATCCTCCTCATCTCCATTCCCATCCTCATCCTCATCCTCGTCCACATCATCATGATTAGCATCATCATCATAACCATCACCATCATGATCACCATCACCGCTATCATCATCATCATCATCGTCGTCGTCGCCGTCGTCGTCACCCCCATCATGCCCATAATCCTGATCATGCCCATCGTGGCTCTCTCACGCCTGTAGACACGAAGTGTCACACGAGACGGTCTCCCGTGCCCCCTCGAACAGTCGCGACCCAGAATGCTGGGCTAGCACGGTGGCGGGGCTTGCCACAAGCAACTGTATATCTTTCCTCTGCTGGAGAACCCCCATCTACCCCTCGCTCCGGATGCAACGAGAGACAAAATGAATAGCATTCCAAGCAGAAAACTTACACCGCATACGACACGTTGAGCATTGCTGAGGATGTCTGGTGAAACATTCTCTTGCTCAAGGAACATCGCGGTGAAAGACATGACAGGGCCAGCCAGGCAGTAGCCGAATAGCGTTGCTGACGCTACAGTATCCACAAGGCCAGGATTATACTGCACGGTGAAGAGGAGCGGGCCGCTGCTGGTCGGCAGCGAGCCGTAGAAGAAACAGAAATCAGTGAGCCTTCCCTCTGACCCCATCAGGAATCGGGCAGTGAAGAAAGAGACGTACGCGCACACGACCACCTTCAATAAGCTCAACAAGCAAGACCATAGTTGCAGCGATGGTTGCTTGAGCACCGTCCCTGTGGCAAAGAGCGCTAGCATACCGAACGGTGATGTAAGTTTATCAATGATCATGGTGCCAAGCTCAGGGATGACCGTTCCGAATATAGAACCATACATCAGACCCAAAGCGACGCTCACGATCACAGGGCTGAACGCAACGCTCTTTGCGATCGCAAGTGACACAACTAACGCGCCACTCCCCTCGATCTCATCCTTGTTCGAATTCTCTTTGGTGACGATCGACTCGTCGTTGCTCGTGTCAACATCGCTACCTGAATCCGAACCAGAAAACTCGTCATAAGTAACACCGCCTCTTGCTGATTCTGCCAAGGCCATGTTCCTTCCAACCTCGAGAAGGACCGTCACGATGGGCAGGAACACGGCGCTGGACACCAAAGTGTTGATGGTGACGTACAGATCCATGCCCAACTCGTTCTTGTAGATGGCAGTCACTACGGGAAATCCCACTGCGAAGTCGTCAGACGACGCAACAAAGTACATGAAGCATGTGGCCGTCAGCAGGCGCTGGCTGGTCTCAGTGGAGCTTCCGTGGTGGCAGTAGAACGCAAGGAGCCACACCGTCACCATGACGAAGAGCTTCCCAACAGCACACGAGAGGACAACGTACCACTGGTCCAGCTGCAGCGCCCCAATCGGGGAGGTCGCTACCACCCTGAAGACCAACAGAGGGGACGCGACCATGCGAACGTACCACCTGAGCGCCACCATCTGCCCGCGCTCTGGGTCCACGAATCCCAATCGAACCGCGAGACAGCCAACACCGATGGCCAAACTCGTGGTCGCCATAGTGTATAGGAGCTTCGTGACGGGGCCAGCAGCGGTCTGCGCCGCTGCTTCTTCCACTGCCGTGGCGCTGGCGAAGAGCGGCAGCATGCATAGGGCAGGCGCAACGGCGAACATGCTTGCGCGGAGGGGTAGGATGATGAGGGGGCGCCAGGCGCCTGGGGTGAGCTAAACAACTTGAACTAACATGGCCACGGACGGTCTTGTGCGCCGTCTTGGAGGCATCAGGGACCGCAACAAGGCGCTCTTTGGAAGTCTCGGGGCTCTCTCGGACCGTCTTGGGGCTCTCTTGCGGGCCTGCGGGCCGATCTTTGTTTTTCTTCTCCTTTTAAATAAACATGCCCGGGATCTCTGGAGTCCCACCAGTCCAGGTCTGACGCCTTCGCGGGCCTCTGAGGCCAGGAAGATCGCCCAACAGAGAGCCACAAGGCGGAACGGTCTGGGCGTCCAGACAGCTGCTCGGCCGCGGCACTGAGTCCGCAGTGCTGTGCTGGAGGCAACGCAACTCTTCTTGGGGAAACCAAGAAGGTACCGATACCGCTACTCCCCGGCCCTCTCCCGGGGTGCGTTCCGACAAGAATTTCGAGGCGAATCCAGCGGTGGCGACGAGGGCCTCCGAGGAGGCCCAGAATAAGGGGGAAACGAGGAAGGGTAGAGGTATGGGTACCTTTGCCCCCTCTGACTTCTTCCGCACGCCACCCCTCCTCGGGCCTGAGGGCCGGTCTGGAGGCGCGCGGGGGCGGGCGCCGGAGACCGGTTTCTCACCCCGAGTCGTTTGTTTGACGGCCCCGAGGCCCCGGGAGGGCCCCCAGGAGGCCGAACATGGTGAGAAACCTCCCGTCGTGAATTTTTTTCACACCGCGAGGGGGTCTTTGGGAAAGGAAAAGCGAGAGGGCCAGGAAAGCGAGGAGGTGGAACGCGTGCGGCCTCGAGCTCGACGAGGAGCAGCTCTGCCTTCGCCAGCAGCTCCTCGGGGAAGCCCTGCCCGGGCCCGGCCCCTCGGAGCCGGGGCTCCGAGCGGGCGGCGGGGGAGCACCTAACTGCGGGCGCGCCGCCGGACCTGTGCTGACGGCCCCTATCGGGTCCCAGACCCCCGTCGCGTTGTGACAAAAATCACCGCGGAAAGTTTTTCGTTATTTTTGGCCTCCGGGGGGCCCTTCCTGGGCCTCGGGGCCGACACAAAACGACTCAGGATGTGAGAAACCAATCCTGGGGAACGGGTCCAAACCTCTGGGGGTCGACGTTGCGAAACAAATCACGACGTCGGGGGTCTGGGGTCGAGGCAACCAAGAAAGACGATGGACGCACGACGATACATCGACGCCTCTGATTTTTGTGGGGAGAGGAGGGGGACGGACAGCGACCACCAAGGCTCGACACCTCGGCCGTGAAAAACCACAGTGCGAGTCAGAGAGTCGCCGAACGGACCCCGAAGTACGCACAGGCCGACACGGCACATCGAAGCCGTTTCTGCGGGTCCGCGGCGAGGTTTGGGCGCCAGCGTGGTCAAACAGCTGGCTAGGCGCGCCAGGGCTGGGGCACACTGTGCAACTAGGGAGGGGAAGAACGCGGCCGCGGAGGGGGAACGCGGGGGGGGGGGCTCGTGCGCAGAGAGCCTTCGCCACGAGGTGTGCGCCAGGGCTCGAGCCAAACGGTGCTCTTCGCTCTCGTGCTGTCTTCGTGCTCCTTCGTTAATTCTTCGTTCGCTACCTCTGCTGCGAAGCGAGACCCAAACGGCAACGGTCCACGAAGTCGCCGACATCCCGTTTAGCTCGAGCCCCGGTGTGCGCAAGCGGCCTCGGCCACCGAAAAGCAGTGTACTGGAAGGTCAACGGCCAATGCCAGCTGCCGACGACCATGGAAGAACGCCGGTACACTAAAACCGAAAACACGAACAAACGTGTAGGCTTTCGGAGGTCCGCGCGAACTTATTGGTCGGGGATCTACTGACCCGGGTCAATGCAGACCTGGGCCAGTCAGGCTTTGCAAGATCCTAGATCCTGCGGGGTCCTGCAGAACCTTTCACCCAAGCCATGGTCCGTGCAATCCTGGCCCTGCAGGATCCTGCAAGATCCGGCGCTCTGACTGCCCCCCGTTTGCATTGACCCCCGTCTCTTGAGACCCGACTTCTTGGATCAGCACTGGGCTCCCTGGCGGCCGCCTGGGGCGCCGCCCCTGGCGCGCTCCGCGCGCCAGGGAGGGGGGAAGTCCAGCGCCGATCCAAGACACTCTCGCGGGGAGCTCCAGAAGCTTACGCCTTCGCGCAGTTCTTCGCGGAGAGTGCTTCTGCGCCGAGGCGTCACTCTCGCGGGGAGCTCCAGAAGCTTACGCCTTCGCGCAGCTCTTCGCGGAGAGTGCTTCTGCGGCGAGGCGTCACTCTCGCGGGGAGCTCCAGAAGCTTACGCTTTCGCGCAGCTCTTCGCGGAGAGTGCTCCTGCGCCGAGGCGTGCTTGCCCGGCTCGCGTGCGTCACTGCATGGGCGCGTGGGGCTTCTTGCCCCGCCGCGAGCCCGCGGCGCCTCGTGGGCGCCCCGCGCTCGGGGGGGCACGTCGGGCTTTCGCCACGGCGCCACCCGCGCCGCCCTGTGTGCGCCTCGTGGGAGCCCCGCGCTGGGCGACACCACGAGGAAAGAGGGCTTGCTGATACAGAGCGAGGAGCGCAGGGGAAGAAGATCTTCGGGGCGATGCACGAAAGGCGGGCCTCTTCGCGCCTCCGTGGGATTCTCAGGATTTGTGGAGGGGCCTGCGCTCTTCGCCGCCCGGCCGTGCCGCGGGGCGGGCGCCTCCGGGCCCCCTCCGTCCTCTGAGCGTGCGCGGCGCAGCTCTCACCGCACAGCCAACGCCGCGCTGCTTGCGCCACACAGCCTGCGCCGCACAGACTGCGCGACGTCGTTCTCGCCACGCAGCTCGCACCACATGGCCTGCACCGCGCAGATCTTACACTGCGTATGGCGCGTGCACAACGCAATTTGCGTCGCATCGCTTGCACTCCGCATCTTTCACCTCCGGTTCACGCCTTCTGGCTTACACGACATGGCTTGTGCCATATAGTTAGCACCGCGTAGTTTTCATCTACGTAGCGCACACCACATAGCTTACACGACACACTTTACACCACATAGCTTGCACCGCATAGCTTTCACCTCCACGGTGCAATAGCCCACGGTTCGAGGACCACGCTGGCTAACCCGTCTTCGATCGAGGCAGTCCCACCACCTTTCTGGGCGTAGGTGGTCTAGGGTTTTTTCTCTTTCAGCCTCCTTCTTCCCTTTCTGGGAGGGGTTTACCCCTCCCCTGGACTTGGACGGGGGTGGTCGCGGGTAGTTGGAGCGTCCAAGATGGCCCAAGAGGGCAGAATGCAAGATGGCTTCCAAGTTGCTCCAAGAGGCCCCAAGACCGCCTCAAGGCAGCTCCAATTGGCCAACGAGCTCACCAAGGATGCCTCCAAGGATGCCCAAGGAACAGTGTTTTTGGCTCTCTCGCCTTTTCGCTTCCGATGGCCATCCGAGGCCTCAAGATGGCTTCAAGATGGCCCAGGAGGGCCCCAAGAGGAGCCGAATAGAGCCCAAGAGCGCTCTAAGAGCGCCCCAAGAGACGGTTTTAGGCACTCTAGAAGGGCAAGGCTAATTGAAGCACCCCTCCTTTTGTATCGATGTCTTCGAAGGTGGCTCCAAGAGCGCCCCTAAAATTCTCAAGAGCGCCCCAAGAGGGCCCCACAAGGCGCCCAGACGGCGCTGGAAGACCTGGCCGATGTTTTTGTCTATGTCAGCTGGGTCGAAGGCGGGGTGGCCTATGACGTCGGGGAGGCCGGGGTCACTAGTGTCGGGGTCGGCGATGGGCGCATTCAGGGTCGTGGCTGCCCTGCGCCAGAGGGAGGTGCCAATGGAGTGGCTAGCCACCGTCGTCGCCCGAGGGGAGCCGCCGGCGGCAGCGGCAACGGTGCTGGTGGAAGCAGCAGCGGCGATCGTGACGGCTGTGGCGACGCGCGGCGCGGCAGGCGGAAGCGGAGCGCGCGGCGTCAGCAGACGCGCCCCAGCCGGCTCGGTGGTCTCGTGGCGGTAGACAACGGAGGGGACTGGGGGGCCCCGTTGCAGCGCCGGGGGCGGGTGCAGGGGGGGCGGCGCCGTGGGGCGCACAGTCGCAAGCGACCCGAGCAAGGGCGAGCTGGGGAGCCAGGGGAGGGCCAGCGTCCCCAGTTGTGCGCTCGCGGGGCGGTATTAGGCACGAAGCTGGGGCGGCCGCAAGGAGGGGCCGCTGCTGGGTGAGGGGGCGTGTGCGTGACAGCGACTAACGGTCGCAATGTTGGGTCAAGGAGGTGGGCACGGGGGACAGGAGCAGCGAACGAGCGACTAGCGGCCGCCCAGTTGGGAGAGCCCGAGTCGCACTGATGCAGAGCACGGCGGCTGCGCCGGCGCTGGAGTGTAGCGACGCGGCGGTGACGCCCCCCCAGCACCTTAGCGGTCTCGTGGTGGGAGACGGCGGAGGGAGGCCGGGGGATCACCTGCAGCGCCCAGGCGGGTGCGTGTTGGGCGTGGCTTAATGGGGGGGTCACAGATGGGGGGGAGGGGGCTCGTTTAGGTACCGTTTGGGTACCTTTTCGGACCACCCGCGACACCCCCCCATTTATGACCCCCCCATTCCGCGGCGCCCAAGCGTGGGGGGGTGACTCTCCGCCGGGGGGGCGCAGAGTCACAAGTAGCCCGAAGCGAGGGCGGGCTGGGGGGCCAATGGCCCGGCGTCCCCAGCTGGGCGCGCCCCGGGTGGTATTGGGCGCGAAGCCATGGCGGCCATCAGGGTGGCAGCCCGCAGGTGAAGGGAGACGGTTGGAAGCGAACCACGGTCGCAGTATGCGTTGAGAGCAGAGCGCGGAGGATACGGCGGTGGGCGCGACTAACGGTCGCCAAGTGTGTGTGTGTGTGTGTGTGTGTGTATGTGTGTGTGTGTGTGTGAGGGAGCAGAGCTGAGACAGGCGGGGGAAAACAGCGTTACGAGTGGGGGGGGTTCCGGTCTGCCTCTCACGCTAGAATGGAGCCAAGACGCCTATGCCCGCCTGGCAGCCAACGTCTCGGGGGAGTCAAGGCGCTGCACGGCAAAGGAGGAACCCGAGCGCGCGAGCGG